TGTTTTAGCAGGATAACCTTGCATTTTGCTTGATCCACAAACACATGCACACACACACAGTGATCTGAATCCACAGTATAGAACATGTCCGCAAAAAAAAAAATTATATAAAGCACTACCTTGGTATTTATTCAGTTTTTTGTGTGTGTTTTTTTTTCCTTAAACAAGACAATCACAAATTCACTTTTCCCATAACGTTAATGACATGATTACACAGACGGATCGGTGTTTACCGTTCTGTATTTAAAAGAACAGTTTGTGGTGCATGGTGCACTATGAGCGTCTTCATGTTCGCAGGTAGAATTGTTCTGAGAAGCATGACCCCCATGACAGTAATCCTGTGCAATGTTAACATTAACATCATAATTATACAACAAATATACAGGTAGTGTAAAACATATTTTGGATATGATTCTGCCTTCCAGCTTAATGTACTGTATACCACCAAGAACATACTGCAAATATATGCATTTATACAGATAGAATGCGCTAATTATTGCCACTTTCATAATTATTATATTGTGCATTTGTCAGAAACGATCGAGTAGAACTATTAGCAAAATTAAATCTATAATGTATGCATAGAACACCATGCATGGGTTAAAAAATAAATGAATTTTTTAATAAATCTCATACATTCTTTGTGTGTACATACTTGATAGCTCTGAATAGGGTTTTCTTGATAATCTCTGCTTAACAATTATATTTAATCTGGATTCAACTAATTAATATCATGGTCATCGTTGTGATTTCTCTTCAAGCAAATGTTTGGCTGGTTCACTTGTAAACATCTTGTTCAATCAAACTCTTGTCTAAAAGATATTTTATGTAAAATATAAATATTTTAGTTGCTCTTTTATATATTCTTTTTTTATTGAATACTGTAGTTTGTTCGTGACTGGAAGTTCAAAACCGTTTGAAAGCTCAGTAATCAGCAGCTTGAAGGACAAGTGTATTTTCATACAATTATATATGATTTTATTATTAAATAATTTTTATGTATTTACAGTACTATATATATATATATATATATATATATATATATATATATATATATATATATATATATATATATATATATAAATATTTAATGAAATACAATATGTAAATGTGAGCTAGCCCTTTTAGCCCTTCCACTGATACACTGAGCTGAATTAACACTTCATTTTCATTGTTGCTTATTACCCTCCACCCCTATATATATTATATTAAATTCAATTTATATATGTTTATACATTTACTGATCTGTTAATCATCAAACTGTATATTATAGCCATAAAGAAATCTATACATATTTTTACATGAGAATAAATGTTAAGAGGGCAATGAGAAACAAGCATTAAACCCAACATATAAGCCCAATCCCAATTCTATTTTGTACCCCTTCCTCTTGAAACAGAGTGTGTTGGGGAAGAGCTTCAAAATGTACCCCTAATAAATGGGACACCACTACAACACCTGCACACATCATTATATGTCATCGCGATCTCTTGCTTCATATAAGATCGCTGTAGTTTTTCCAGTTGCATTATTTGTGGGTGTTTACCTTCCGGAAATTACCGAAGGCAACAATATTATGTTATCATAACAATATAATGTGGCAATAAGATCGTAACTGTACTTTGCATTTACACTGTGGCCATATTCATTTATGCGAACACACGAAAACAACATTAACAGTGTAGCAGACACTTTCCGACCACTAAACTTTTCTGACAGGGTATTCGACTGTCAGATGTGAAAGTATGTTGTGGGACTGCTATACGGAAGTTAATATTATGGATTATAGATAGCAAAACTTTGCATTTAAAAAAAAAAAAAAAAAGCTTAACCGTAAAACATGAATGATGTTATAAATGTGTTAATAATGTTAAAGTTGTAGATAATGTATTCTGGGAAAATTTCGTACCCCTTGGTTTCAAGTGTGATCCTGAAAAATCTCCATTTTAAGGGCTATCCAGCCCTTCCCCTTAGGCCTACACCTTTAAGCTAAAAAGAATTGAGACACCCCTACCCCTTCACTTGAATGTGCAAAACGCGGGGTAGGGGTACGGCCATATCACCCTGCAGGTCAAGTTCGGTTACTCAGTGAAGCTAAGCAGGGTTCAGCCTGGTCAATACCTGGAAGGAAGACCAAATAGGAAAACTAGGTTGCTGTTGAAAGTGGTGCTGGTGAGGCCAGTAGGGGGCACTCAACCTGTGGTCTGTGTGAGTCCTAATGCCCCAGTATAGTAAAGGGGGCGCTATACTATAAGTGGGGACCGTCTTTCGCATGAGACGTTGATCCGAGGTCCTGACTCTCTGTAGTCATTAATACCATGGCATTTCTCATAAAGAGTAGGGTTGTAACCCTGGTGTCCTGGCCAAATTCCCATAATCGACCCTTACCTATCATTTCTCCCAATCATCTCAATCCACCGAATTGGCTCTATCACTGTCTCTCCACTCCACCTATAGCTGGTGTGTGGTTGCGGCTCTGGCGCCGTTGTCCTGTGGCTGCCATCACATCATCCTTGTGGATGCTGCACACTGGTGGTGGTGTGGAGAGACCACATGATTTTGAAGTGCTTTGGGTGTATGGCCATACACGATAAATCGATAAATGCACTATATAAACACACCTTACTTACTTACTAAGGGGAAGGGCTAAGAGGTAGAGTTGGGATTGGGCCATAATGTCTATCATTTTCTGTTTCTGTTTACAATTACTCTTTATTAATATACAGCATTGAATGTGGTGTTCATATGTGCGAAAGATGTTTTCATATTGTGGGACTTCTGAATGTGCCAAACAACATATCATAAGACATAATAAATAACAATGTTGAAATGAAGGTGAAAAATAAGCTAAATGCAGTCTTATGAAATCTCAGTCATAGTCATATGCTGCCAAAGTCAAGTTAAAATGTAGACAATCGCCTCCGTGTACTGAAAAACTCATCGTGTATTAAAAGCATCAGTCTAGGTTGTGGCCGTCATACTAAGACAAGCTCCCGTGGCGTTGTGGGATTTTTGCGTATCTGTTTGTGTTGTTGTAGTTAAAGGTCTACGTCATTGTGACTCAGTAGTGAGCATGAGGTACGGACAACCGCAGTTTGCAAGCACACCTCTAGTTGTGTTTCAGTCTCCTCTTGCTTCAAAAAAGGTGAGACAATAAATACACAAATGTTGTGTTTTTTTTTTTGTTAGATAACAGAAGGAAGTCACATGTTAAAGAAATTCTCAATGGATTGACTTAGGATCGTATGTGATATCACGGCTTTTGTCATCCGATTCGGTCCACGACAGGCACACACGTACAGAAACAAATCTGACAGTAACTAAAACCAAGACACCAGTGGTGAGATACCAACCGAAATGAACTCTTGCCTTTGATACGGATGATACATAGCTTATTTTCCGAAAATTCATATTTTGATTACATTTCCAGATTTACAAAAGTAGTATAACACCAGCTCTAGCTGATGCTCCCTATCTCTGCAAGACATTGTGCAAAGTTCACTTCACACAGTAACATTTCTATAGCAACTATGAGGTAATTTCACTGTTGCTAAGAGCTAGGTGATGTATTTCACAATGTCACTCTGAGATGGGATGAACCTCTCTGCCATTTCTCCCCTGGAACGACACGGGCAAACGCATGCCCTCCACCCGAGCCCTTTTAGCCCAAGCTACGACCGTTAAGGATTCACACATCCAAAAGAAAACAAAGCAAGAAATAAACAGAGGGAGGGGTAAACTAAGAGACTGCACCGGAAAGTCAAAACGAGCCTTTGTTCATTCGTGACTTGCTCTTATTAGGTTAATTACACTTGTGCTAATTTTTCAGTCCCGCTGTTTAATACGATATCGTTTTTCTGTCTTGCTGTGTGGACCACTTCTTTTGTGTAACCTCGCAGCTTTCTGTGAGGATATTTTGGTTTTGCCCTGCAAGGAGTACCACTTCCCTGTTATTATCGCAATTTGTGAGTCTTCTTGTTCTGTAACAGCCGGTCACATGACGGCTATTGTACATCTGAAGCATTGGGCTGCATCTGTTTTCAGTCCCAGAATGCGAGATCAACTCGCTCGGCTGTAATGGAAGACTGACCCTCTAAAATCGCCGTTTTTTTTCGCTGTCCTGGCTGGACCTGGGGCTCTTTGAGGTTGCGATTGCACATCCTCTTACTTGCAGTAAATCAGTGGTACGTTAGATACTCTGTTACAAGGACAGGCCTACATGATGCTAGCTGTTTCTGAAGAAAAACAATGTGTGGTACACGTCTATCCAGGTGAGAACAGTTGGCCCACATTACCCTGAAACACTCCCTTGTTGCTTTATCAAAAAAATCAAGACGCTAATAGTCTTATTTACCATTAACCACTTGTTCACACCATTGGGACACTGAAGCAATACAACAAATTCATACCGGTTTGCAACGCTGTATGTGTTTGTTCCTGGTGCCTGTCTGTAATGTTCTCTGGAGCACCAGGCCTCGTCAGAATAATTCATTTCACAGCATATTCAAAGCTCATTTTGATGTTCGAATATGGTATTTACATGGCTGTTGAAGTGGTGAGTAATGAGGAGGAGTTCTCGGTCACATCCGTTGCCCCTTTCCCACAAGTTCCAGCAGAACTGATGTGCACAGAAAGGCTAACAACAGAAGTGTCTTTTTATTAGCTGGTAAGGCTACAGCTCCTGTCCTCCATTGGTCCGTGTTGCTGTTTTGGGGGAGTGTTGAGTTAATTGAGATAGGATTGGGAGGTGACAGGAACGAGAGGATTGGAGTCTGGGTTGAGTTGCTGTGTGAGGACCTCCAGTCACCTCCCTCCTAGCCTGAAAGATCAGTTCTGCTCTGATGTGGCCATGGATGGTGGAAGGGGGTCATGGATGCATGAGGACTTGGACCCCCCCGGGTTGCTCACACGCTTCTGTTAACCGCTGATATTGCTCAGTCTGTCTTAAAATAAAAAAGCTGATCGCTTCCTCGGAGTGTAGTGCAGGTCAGGGCAAGGGCTCACAGGCCGGACACCATGACCCTGTAGGAGGGAGGCATGTGTCTGTGGCGGGGACTGGAGGATGGGCTGCTTGTGGGACTGCTGCAACTTGCGTCCACACCTCCTATGGAGGGTAGATAGGCATGATGCAGGATTGGCAGCTGCAAGGATAGCCGGCGCTGTATGCTGCGAACACAAATGACAGGGAAGAAAATGATTTATTTGCATAAAATGCAGAAAATTCTCCATTTCCTGTGATGATTTTTAGAACAGAAGTTTACAGAGTACATTTAAAGCAACAGTGATTTTGCCTTGCACGTTGCATTCTCGTCTTAATATAGGGTTTAGGGTTACTATGACACCATTAGATCCTGCTGGTAGTTGCCCTAACTACACCATCTAGACCTTCACTATTATTTAAAAGTTTGAGGTCGTTTTACAATAGTTGCTTGTAAAGGATTTGGTCCTGATCTTGTTCTTCTTGTGCCATCAGCCAGGACTAAACTAAAATTCAATATGTATCTAGTTTGGCGGTTTCTGGTTGCATGGCAAAGGAGTAAGGTGTTTCTGGTTTGAGCTCCAGTTGATCTCCAGCTATACAATATAAAATCAGTGCCATATAATAAAACACTGTGTGATCTCTGCTTCGAATGCATTTCTAAAATAAGAAAAGAGTAAATATATGAACTAATGGCGGAAAAACTATGCAAATACAAATATGGCGCATCATCTGGTTCTATGTCTAACACCGCCTCGTCTTCGAGCTCCATTGTCACCTGATCGCAGGTGACCTCATCCCCTCCAGTCAGCCCAGAGAAAATGGACTTGAGGGAGTTGAAATCAGAGATTCTTTACTCACTAAAGGCGGACATTTCAGAGGTGATTAAGTCTGGGCTGAAAAAAATTTGCACTTGCTGAATACAAGCAGTCAAAACTGAAATAATCATAATAATAACAACACGGCAGCGATACAACCTGTGATAGACCAAATGAAGAATACGAGTAAGGGAATGGAAGGCAGTCTTTCAACAGATGAAGTGACAACTTTGCAAACAGTGGTAACCGATTTGAAAGCAGAGATGATTGTGCTGAGAGAAAAATGTTAAGACATAGAGGGAAGAATGAGTAGATGCAACATTAGGATACTGGGCGTAGCTGTGACAGAGGGATCAAGTTCTATGACGTCGATGGCGAGGCTGCTAAGAGAATCGCTACAGCTGGAAAAAGGCGTACTTGTGAACTGTTCGCATTGAAGTCTTGCACGGTATGGACGGTAAGCCATGGGCCATCGTGGCTAAACTTTATTATTTCCAAGATTGTATCGAGGTATTGAGACATGAGCAGAGTCGGGCTCCACTGAGATTCAACAAAGATTCAATCGCCATCTTTACGGACTACACTGCAAGTGTTGCAAGGCCAGGGCCGCTTTCACAGACGTTTGGAAACTGCTAAGCAATTGTCAGGGTGTTAGTTTTGGCATCTTATTTCCACCCTGGCTACGCATCTGTCATGATGGTAAACAATATGTACCTAGTCTGCTTCATGTCTGTGTCTTCATACTGCACCCCAAGTGGCCAAAGCCTTTAAATCAATTACAGAAGCCAAATGTCAGTTATATAAAGTGCACACACCACACCTCTCATGATTGGTTTTATGATTGGACTCTCTTTGAGTTATTACTTTCAATTAAATATTAATTTCGTACATCAATTAAGGAAAATGTCTTCTGTGTTTAGAAATAATTAACATTGATTAGTTATATGTAGGAGGTCCACTTACAAAACAATAAAATAAAAAAAATACACTTAATATTAATGTCATTGAGCTACCAATGTATTTGTTTCTCCCTCACTACAGACATGAGAAACAGGCGCAATAAATTACTCACTGCATATTCCCATGGCAGAGGTGGTGTTATTTTGCAAGGTCAAGGGACCATCAGCTACTGGGGTAAGTGTGAGTGTGTTTAAGTGTGTGTGTTTGATGAACAGCGGCACAGTGCAGAATCTCACAGTGCGATCAAACATTCATGTGCTGGGATGGCCTGTAGTCCTCTAATTCTACTCTTCTGTCTATTTTCAGGGTACAATGCCTTCTACTCTTAGTACAAATCAAATGTTATGTAACCACAGACACCTACTTTTTCTCTCTCTCTCCGTTCGCCTCTTGTTTCATGTGTGTTTTCTTTCTGATCTCTGCTATTTCTCACTACCATTTGAATGAGTTTGTACAACAGAATGCACACATATGAGCTAAAAGCCCTGTAGGTTGTGAGATGGAGCTTGTCCAATATATCCTACGGATGTTTAGTTTCATTGAGCTTTGGAGAATTTGGAAATCTAGGGTAACACCTTGAAGCTTTCATTATGTTCTTCAAAAATTCCTAAAGAATATGTCCAATGTGAGAGGGTGGACAATCCTGATGAAGAGGCCACACAATAGGGAATGCCACTGTCATGACTTTCATGTAAGGTTCTTCAAGGTAGCATGTGTAAAATTTTCATTCACATGAATAGCCAGACCCCTAGGGTTTCCCAGCAGAACAGAACATCACACTCTCTCCACTGGCTTATTGCCATCCAACACTGCAATATGTTGTCTTTAATACTCCAATTAAATGGCTCAAATATACACAGCCGTCCATTTTTTGTAAAACGGGACTCATTGGGGTAACCATCTGGTACAGTTCTGATGCTTACATACCCATTTTAGGCACTCTTGATTGACGGGTCATTTTTGGCTCTCTGACTGGGCACTGGCAATGCAGTCCCATACACAGAGTGCAATGTTATGAGTGCTAGCATGATAACATTGTAGTGAGTAGTCTTCCTGCTGGCCCAGATCAGATCTGAACCCTTCATTGCCCTTGTGTCTTAATGAGCCTTGTTTGCTCTGTCACCAGTTCGTGGTTTATCCCTCCTTAGATCACTACTGGTAAATTTTTACCACAAAGACTTTATAGATACTCTGACCATGTAATCTTGATACAACAACGTGGCCCTTATCAATGTAACTCAAATCTTTATTTTGGTCAATTTCTCCAGCATCAATTATGCTTATTACAGAAAATGATGCTTAACAACATCTATTCGACCTAGACCACAATATGTGGACTTGCTAGAAGATCAGTAATTATCCCTTTACCTGTGACCAAAAGTATCCCCGTAGGCCCAAAACCATTTGAACAGTTCAGACTCTAAAAAAACCCATGTAAGAACTTCTTTTTGTGATGATACATTTCTCCTGCTTGTAATTAGACATAGGCCTTGCATTACATCACAGCCATAAACATGATTAGCTAGCCAGATGCAGGTTGGTCTGCAGATAGGGCCGGTGTCCTGCTAAGTTTAGTTCCAACCTCAATCAGACACACCTGAACCAGCTAATCAAGCTCTTTCTAGGTGCACTAGAAACTTCCAAGCAGGTGTGTTGAAGGAAGTTGAAACTATGCAGGACAATGGCCCTCCAGGACTGAGTTTGGGCACCCCTGGGATAGGAATTTCATGTTTTTTTCATTAGAAAACTAAATTTAGTTAAGACTTTGGATAAATTGTTAACAAATGCATTCATACAAAACTTTTCTGAACTCACTGTTCTGGTGAGTTGATGTCTTCTAGTGGACCTCTACTTATCCTAGAAGGATCCGCGGATCCCCACTGAGCCTGGGGTTTCTGCTCTAGGTGGTTCTTCAGAGACTTCTCTCCATCTGAAAACAAAGGCAATGATGTTCAAAATCCTGCCATTCCACCAGGATGTCAATTGCGGATTGAGCTCAAGAACTTGAGTCAGAACTTGCACCTTATATGACACTTTCAGGCTGACATGTTTGGGGGTGAATAATGTATGACACTGCAATAAATTGTTCTTTTTCGCTGGGTGACAGTAACAGAGGGAAAGAGTGTGACATACTGAAATGACTCACTGTCTGACAGCGGTGTGTGATCGACAGGTGCGGAACACAAGGTTTGATTTCCACTTCTATTACCTTTGCCGTCAGTGAAGTTGCGTATGCTCAGGATATTGTTGGCATCTTGGTAGTGGTTTTGTTTAATGTATGGAGTCTTTTCTGGAGTGTCCTGGAGTTGCATGGTAACCTCTTCCAGTTCTTTATCCAGCTGTAACCCCAATGAATAAATATATATATAACACTTTAATGTCTGCAGAATTACAGTTGTCTTTTATGATTGAGCAACTTTATCACCTCTGTAATTTTCATTCGAAGGCGATGATTGTCTGACTGTAGTCCATCCAGACGTGAAGTGTTGGCTTGGTTAACACTGGTCACTGAGGTGGATGTCTTGGAATCTTCCTTCTTCTGGTTCTGGGTGAACTTCAACCTCCGGTTTTGTGTAGCAGCATCCGGGTTTGTTCGCATTGTAACAAACTAACAAAAGAGAGAGAAGACAAAGGCAGACAGTTGAGATGGTGAGGCTAACTCGATGTAAGATGTATTTGTTTAGAGTGAGAGAGAGTCTAATCTTTCTACTCTTTCAAATTCCGTTGTGTTTATTTCCAGAGAGCTCCAGGGGATGCAAAGTAAGCACGGTTCTCAATTATATTCAGGTGAACTTGCTAGGGATTTGCACAAATCAAATGCCAGAAAGGGCCTTTCGCTGACCTCTACAATTCTTTTCCCATTGGGCCGGATCAGGCGGAGCATTGCAGTACTTACTTTTGGCACAAATACCAGACACAGCGTGATGGTGCTGCAGAAAATGATGACCAGGGCCACAATGCAGAACTGAACATTAGGCTGATCCCGAGTCAGGAAGGACACCGCTGCCCCGATGATGCACATGATGCCCACATTGTACACACTCATACCGATGTACTTGCTGTCGTTCAGTGCTGGGATGCTCACGTTTCTCGTCTCCCAGGCCAAGAAACATCCGAACAACTAGACAAAGAGAAAAGGGCAAGAATATTTATCATCACAGGCATAGAGGCAGGGGCAGATTTGCAAGCAGATGTTTACCTTATCTGAAGGAAGTTGGTGACACAACCCAGGAATAGATGTTGCCACATTGTTGCTAAGGTATTTTAGGTAGTTTCTATCTTATTTTTTATTATGTGTGGTTACTAAGGTTTTCTGAGGGTTTTTAATATGTTTCTAAGTGTTTTTTTAGGAGTTCTGATGTTTTACGTTGTTTCTAAGTGGTTGCCATGGTGTTCTGAGGGTTTTATCACAATTTTAATTGGTTGCTAAGGTGTTAAGAGTTTATATTAATCATGTTTCTAAAGGGGTTTCTGAGGTGCTCTGATCTTTTTTACTATGATTCAAAGTAGTTGTTATGGTGTTCTGTGGGTTTTATCCTCTCTTATAACGTTTGCTAAGTTGTTCTGAGTGTTTTGAAATCATGTTTCTAAGTGGTTTCTAAGGTGCTCTGATGTTTTTGCAGTGTTTCTAAGTGGTTGCTAAGGTGTTCTACATTTTTAAAATCCCGTTTCTAAGTGGTTTCTAAGGTGTTTTTATGTATTTACTGTTTCTAAGTGGTTGCTATGGTGTTCTGTTGATTTGATCACTAATGGTTGCTAAGTTCTGAGTGTTTTACAATCATGTTTCTAAGTGGTGTCTGAAGTTATTTTAATCATGTTTCTATAGGAGCTTTTAAGGTGCTCTAATGTTTTTACTATGATGGTTGCTATAGTGTGCTGAGGGTTTTATCCCCTTTTAAAATGGTTGCTAAGGTGTTTTGATTTTATTTTAATCATGTTTCTAAGTGGTTTCTAAGGTACTCTGATGTTTTCACCATGTTTCTAAGTAGTTGCTATGGTGTTCTAAGGGTTTTATCGCATTTTAAAATGGTTGCAAAGTTTTTCTGGGTGTATTAAAATCATGTTTCTAAGCGGTTTCTAAGGTGCTCTGATGTTTTTACCATGTTTCTAAGTGGTTGCTATGGTGTTCTGAGGGTTTTATCACATTTTAAAATGGTTGCAAAGCTTTTCTGAGTGTATTAAACTCATGTTTCTAAGCCGTTTTCTAAGGTGCTCTGATGTTTTTACCATGGTTCTGTGGGTTTTATCACATTTTTAAATGGTTGCTAAGGTGTTTAAGGTGTTCTAAGTTGCTTTTAATCATGTTTCTGGTTTCTAAGGTGTTTCGATGTATTTACTATGCTTTCAAGTGTTGCTATGGTGTTCTGAGGGTTTTACTCTGTGGTCTGAGGGTTTTATCACAATTTTAAATGGTTACTAAGGTGTTCTGCATTTTAAAAATCATGTTTCTAATTGGTTTCTAATGTATTTTGGTGTATTTACTGTGTTTATAAGTGGTTGCTCTGGTGTTCTTAGGGTTTAATCACATTTTAAAATGATTGCTAAGGTGTTCAGAGTTTATTTTAATTATGTTTCCAAGTGGTTGCTTAAGTGTTCTGGGTTTTCGTGATGTTTTGTTGTTCCTAAGGTGTTCTGAGTCCTGACAAGTGTTGCTATGTGGTTAAAAGAGTCCGGAGTGTTCTGAATTGTTTTTAAGTGTATTATTATGCATTTGCTTTTAATTGTATTATGCATGTGACATTTCCGTGTGGTTTCTAAGGATGTTTCTAAGGTGGTCCTTTCTAAGGTGTCCTCCAAAACTCTATGGTCATATTTTCAGTTGATATCTTTACCTTTATTCTGTGCAGTTTTATAACTTTGATAGCAGACCTAAAACAAAGATTGTTCATATGACATTTTCCATTGATAGTCATTTTCATCGCTATGTACAGTCCTCAATTTACAGTGATGAATCATAAAGCCAGTGAAAATGAACTGTGGCTGACTTATTTAGCACCCTAATGCCTCTAAAGGCAGCTAACAACACCTGTCCAAGTTTCTCAGGAAGTCAGAGCAGTAATCAAAGCACCTTTGTGTGAGACAAGAGTGAACTCTGAGAAATATGACTCAGCTAACTCAATGACGCACACACCGAGATTTGATTCTGCACCCACTCACCTCAGATCTATTCAATCCTAATCCAATCCCAGCCAGGCTCGCTCCTTTTGCTTGTTCACCCTCTCATTCTCTCTTTTTCCTCTTATTCTAGTGGAACATGTCAGCTGTAAGTGAAGCTGTGCTGATTTAGCAGCAGGTTTTCAAACAGGGAAGAGGAGAGCAGAGGGGAAGTTTTCCGAAATGTCATATATCAGAAACTGAGAATGTGAGTGTGATGGCATTTGAACTTGGCCACTATTATGATTTCATGACTAGTTTCGTACAAGCTTTTATTTAACATTGATCACTCCCTTCATAACATCGCCTTCCCCTAAATCTACACCCCCAGTTTTCACCAACGGGCAGACAGAAGAGAGACAGAAGAGATTCTCTGTGGTCTGAACTCTGACATGGATCATCTACAGTAGGACAAGGTAAAAACAGAGGTAATGGCCTGCCAGTCATCCCCACCACCTGCTGCTGTTACAGGAGCAAGAATACATGGACAAATCATTTCCACAGAGCACAAAGAGAGTCAAAGGGCAGCTTTTTATTGGTGGATGTTGCCACCATTGACTCAGAGATAATGGTCAGTGCTATGGGCAGTTAACTGACTGGGGGATTTTGATTCCTGGGGCCCCTTACCAGTAATCTAAAGTGAGGTTAATTGGAAAGAGCAATCTCACTAATATTATATCACTTCCTAAGGGTACAATGTATCAAAATACAGTCAGACAGTTTGCTAGATTTGCATTTCTGCAATGCAATACCAGTGCTTACATTTCAGAAAATGAACATTGTTAATGTGGGTGGTTCTCATCGTTTTTGTTTCCAGTGTCACAGTATTTCACAACCCAGGCTTATTCTGTAAACGTACCTCTATATACTTTTCTGGAGAGCATCAAATACATCCCAGGAGCTACATTTTTTTTTGAGTTTTTGTTTCCGTGAATCCACCAGAGGCTGAGGTGTATGCTTTTTGAGATCTCAAATATCTCTCGTGAGTGCCATTCGCACCTGCTGTTCTCTCGTATATTCACAAGAGGCCGCTGTCGACTGACTGACTGACAAACCCATCGATTTTATTTTTTGCTTCTGTTTTTGTCTTATTCGCTTTCTGGAACCTTTTTTTTTTTACCAAACTTGAACCTCATCGTTGTGGTCATTTCCTCTCTGCGTCTCAAGTCCACCTATGCACATGGCAAACTAACTGGACAAACTAATAACAGCCAGAAAGCCATCCATACAGAAAGGTAAGTAGTCAGCTGGTAAGCTTGAAAAGGAACACGCCGGCCCGTAGTGTTTGTTTTAAAGATGAAATACATAAATCATGATCATAAATCAAAATCTCTAGAAATGTATATAGGTTACATTTTCAGAATGAGCCTATGTTGGTATTTCAGGACCCTATGGTACTTCAGTGGTTATCAAAAGACTTGATAACTTGTTTTTTTTTTCATTTACATTACTTTTAAAATAAAATAACACCTCTGTGAAATGATTTACTTTAAAGCAATTAATGGAAGAAAACATACATTTACACATGAACTGTTTTGCCTTTTTTTTAAATGATTTAAAAAGAAAATTACTCAATAAGGAATATTCAATCATTATTTATTCACACTGGTGTTTCTCAAATACACTGTTCCATTTTTGACAATACAAATGGAGAAATAATAACCTTTTTAAAAGTATCAAGAATGGTCAAATACAGTAAATGCCATATAATCCAAGTGTTCAATGTTTGGCAAGGTTTAAGTTTAGAAAAGCCTAACCGAAAAGTATTTTTTAAATAAAAACCCTGATGTTGACTAACATTAATTTTTCCTCATTTTCATTGCACATTCATAACTTCTAAAAGATTCTTAACCCAGGCCATGCTCTATATTAGCCTATCAAATATAGTTATAAAAAGCCCAAAATATTACTTAAAAGTATTCAGACCAGCGCAAGCTCATACAGTGGTCTGAAATAAAAAAAAGAAGGGAATTAAATAAAGGCCAAGGCGATTAAATGAGGACTGCTGGGGATGAACTATTCTTTTACAAGTCCCGTAGAAGTTTGCTGAGACAACTCAAAAAATGTGTGTTACAGTGATTTAGCCACAATATGGGGTGCTCTTATGTCTACAATCTACTCATGCATGTTAAAATCAAACTAATGAAGATCTAGGGCCTTATCATACACACGGCGTAATAAGGCATAAGATGTGTTTAGCGCGATTTGTTGCTATTTTCAGACAAGCGCAACCCTCATTTTCTCGTTTTGTGCCACATTGTTTTAATGGAGCCCTGTTTCCCTATTCACGAGTAAAGAGTAAAAGTAAAGTAATAAGGCAGAATGAAGGAGGCTCGTTCTTTATCTTTGTGCTGCAAATGTTCTGTTTAACTGTTTTCTAGCTAGTGGAGGATTCAGTTTTTCCACTTACAAAGTTGGCCATGTAAATAGCAAATGTGCCATGGCATGATGCAGCTGACTCTTAAAGGGAATTTAAGATTCTGATTGGATCCAGACACTGATTGGTTTAATGCACGTTACCCTTTAAAACACATCAATAACTCATTAAGAGAATAAGCACAAACCTGTTAGACCATGTGCTGGGGTGCAAACTTTATTTTCTCTCCTTAAAATAGCAAAAAAAGGATTCGGACATGCCTTTATTGCTTTTGCGCTGTGAACTTTAGACTTTGCGCCTAGATCGGTAAAAAATATCCCCTATTGTTTTATTTTTTCTTTATTTTGATTTGCATCTTTTACCCAACAATGATTGCAGCAACATTACGCAACAAATATGCAAATTACTTCAATTCATGTTCACCACCTCTCTTTTAAACAAAGGTGTTGAGCATTAAAAATTAGATAACTTACTGTAAACATGGCATTTGTATATCCTAATATACCACAAGAGATTTGGTCTGTAATGTTGTGAAGACATTTTCACAACAGTGAGATATATATTATCATTTAGCACATGTAGATAGAAAAGACAGAGTATTCAGACATCTTTGTCTGTGGGAGCAGATGGCGATCATGTTGACGCTCTCTAGAATGTTCTCACTCACCATAAGGAGGCCTTTGTAGGCATAGACAATTCCCAGCCAAATGGTCATGTGTGTGTTCTCGCAGTGCTCCAGGAAAGGCCGGATTGCGATGTCTCGTCCCTGAGGATCCGCCTGTGGAGACACAACGAGGAAACCAATGAGTGGAAATAATCCTGGCTTAAAAAACACCTTTGTCTCTAACAACAGTAACAAAACACTGAGCCCTGGCTTATTTGCCTTGACTTTAAATGCATTATTATAAAGGCGGATTTAGGTTGACTTTAAGAACTTATTAAGTAGCAACATTTGCATTTAGATTTAGAAGTAAATTTGCTAAATTGCATAAGCTCCGAGTACCAATACTGAAGCTAAAGGCATAATGGGATATCAGGATCATTTGTTCTCCCATGGGAGACCAACCTTAATGGCCTTTCAAAGAGATAGTAACAATAATATAGTCATCTCTAGCAGATACCCCTTGAGTGTTAATGATTAGCAATAACTCTTTTTGGGCTCCAGACATTGATCAACATATTTGCAGTCCTGATATGCAAACAGGTCAGGACTGGTATCTTGAAGGAGGCTTGGGAAAGAGATAAGACATTGTCTGAGTTCCCCTCAACATGCTCTAAAAGTAGCCAAGCTCTAACCCACTTACTGCTGCCCCAGTTTGGAAACCCTTAAGCTTGCCATGCAACAACCCGGACACAAAGACAGACAGAGATGCAACCTCCAAACGGATCCCCAAGTCTTCCCACGTTTAGTCACAGAGCGAAACACTCTTTCATCTGCCTTTTGTGTGGCTCTGTCTGTGTGATTTGAGTTTGACATTAAAGAGTTCACCACTCAGATGACATCTTCACAAAGTACAAGTAAACTGGACCAGTCAATGCAAGAAGCAACCATATAATTTATAAACAACCATATTCTATGATGCGATGAATCCTAGAAGTCAAAACGCTGGACAATTTTTAAACTCAGCGAGAGAGCAGATCAAAGAGGAAATGCTGATGATAGAGCCATTGAAGTCTCAGATGCAGTTTACTACAGAGGTTTATGGGAATAATGTGTATATGATGTAAAAGTGCTTCTACAGTCGCAACAAAATAATCTGAAAATTTTAAGAAAAAAAAGTGGAATAAAGACAAGATGGATTTTTTAAGCATCTTAGTGCTTTTACAATAGTGTATAAATGTGACCCTAGAACACAAAACCAGTCAGAAGGGTACATTTTTTTAAATTGTCAATATTTGGTCAAAATAAAGATATCTCAATATCTGGAATCTGAGGGTTCAAAAAAGTAAAAAATACTGAGATACCGTTGAATACCTTTTAATTTGTCTAAATGAAGTGCTTAGTGCAGGGGTGCCCGAACTTGGTCCTGTAGGACTGGTATCCTGCTTACTTTAGCCCCAACTTCCTTCAACACACCTGCTTGGAAGTTCTATGTTACACATAGAGAGAGCTTGGTGAGGAATTGGGATTGGAACTAAACATTTACAGGACACCGGCCTTCCAGGACAGGAGTCTGGGCACCCCTGGCTTAGTGCATATAACTAAAATACATGTAAAGTAAATTTACAAAATACCTTCATGAAACGTAATCTTTACCTAATATTCTAATGATTTTTGGCATAAAGAAAAATAGATAATTATAACCTATAATATATGTAACCCACCGGTCATAATGCAACCAACCTGATCTGAGCTGGGATCGAACCAGTGATTCTTTGCATGGGAGTCGGTTGCTCTAACAAAGAGTCTAAAGACCATGGCCTCTAGCATCTGTCGCTAGAGCACCTTTAAAGGACATAGGAGAGACGTTTACCTGCATAGCTCTTTGCTTGCTGGCCTCCATTACACTCACCCCCTAAACCTCACCCCCATCCCGGATGAGCCCCCATGTGTAACCCACCGGTCCTACTGCACTCAACCCAGTATGAGCTGGGATCGAACCGCTAATGCTTTGCATGGGAGTCGGTTGCTCTGACATGGAGGCAGTAATCCATACCATTGTACTTCAGACCATGGCCTCTAGCATCTGTTGCTAGAGCAGCTTTAGAGGACAGAGGAGGGAAGTTTAAGCATTTTGCTTGCAGGCCAACATTACTCTCACCTTCCCTAAACATCACTCCCATCCCGGACGAGCCCCCATGTGTAACCCACCGGTCCTACTGCACCCAACCCTTAAAGTCTTGTTCTTTAGCCTCCTTGTTAGAGCAACCAACTCCAATGCAAAGATTCACTGGTTCAATCCCAGCTCAGAGCAGGTTGGGTTCAGTAGGACCTCTGGGTTACATATGTATTTTTGGCTATTGTCAAAAATGTACCCATGTAACATAAGAAACGATTTGTAATCCAGAGTCAGACATACAGTAAACGGAGTGTATATATCATATTTTACATGTTTACATTTTGGATCTATCCTCTAAACCAGTGTTTCTCAACCACGTTCCTGGAGGACCACAAACTCTGCATGTTTTGGATGTCTCCTTTGTCTGTGACACCCATTACAGGTCTTTCAGTCTCCACTGATGAACTGATGATCGGAATCAGGTATGTTTGTTTACAAAGACATGTAAAATGTGCAGGGCTGGTGATCCTCCAGGAAGGTGGTTGAGAAACATTGCTCTAAACTGCTAGGTTTTACTAAGCATCTTGATCAGTTTAATTTTCTGCAATTAAATGCTCTATTTGATAATATTATTTATTTTAGTTGCATATACTGTAATATTTAAATGCAGACCCATTGCAGTTCTCAATTTTGACCCATTTATTTAGTCCAACAGCAATTTGAGTAGTTAACTGACAATAGCATCCTTCCCCAGGGAGTAACCCAATAATGTTTTTACTTCTGTTAAACATTTAGGAGTTTCATCAGACACCAAAAGCTAGAAATGAAAAGACAGAACTTAAATAGAATGCTTTTTTTCCAACTGCACAATAGCAAAAGCACAGTGTTCATCATAGGGGCTGTGTTGTTGCCGAGCAACAGCCGGTGGGCTGGGTTTGAAAAGAGTTCTGGCGCTCTGTTATTTCTTACAGCATTAGGCATCTAATGTAATTGTTCACTGGAAGCTAGAAGGATGTGTGACTGACAGAGAGTCTGTGGAGAGACTGAGACATGAGGGACACAGTCAGCTGACAACAGAGAATTATATCACACTTTATAGACTGGAATGAACCATAAAGCCACCGAGAACTGCAAACAGACAGCCATTAGGTGTGTATTAGTGCATAGTGGCAGCTTTACACACAGGGTGAGGAACAGAAGGGATATCGCCTGATGATGCAGTTTTTTTTTTAAGTAAAAAGTTGATGCATTTACATGACAGTGGTGTTTAGTAAAACTAATAATTGTAAAGTATTAATCACAATGCTTCATTAATACTACTACTCTTTACAATTTTATTATCATAAAAATGCATTTGTAGTCAAACAACAAAAAGTAACATTTGTTGACAAACTCAATTCATTTATTCATCAATTCATTTATTTCCTTAAAATTCTACACACAATACCCCATAATGACAGTGAGAAAAAAGATTTTTTGAAATTGTTGCAAATTTATTAGAAATAAAAAACCCGAAAAATCACATGTACATCAGTATTCAAAGCCTTTGCAGTTAAGCTCTAAATTGAGCTCAGGTACTTTCTGTTTCCACTGATCATACTTGAGATGTTTCAGCAGCTTAATTGGAGTTCACCTGTGGTAAATTCAGTTGATTGGACATGCTTTAAAAAGGCATACACCTGTCTATATAAGGTCCCAGGGTTGACGGTGCATGTCAAAGCACAAATCAAGCATGAAGACAAAGGAACTGTCTGTAGACCTCAGAGACAGGATTGTCTAGAGGCACAAGGCTGGGGAAGATTACAGAAAAAATTCTGCTGCTCTGAAAGTTCCAATGAGCAAAGTGGTCTCCATCATCCGTAAGTGAAAGATGCTTGGAACCACAAGGACTCGTGCTAGAGTTGGCAGGCCATGTAAGCTGAGTGATTGGGGGAGAAGAGCCTTAGTCAGAGGGGTGATCTATAACCTGATGGTCACTCTGTCTGAGCTTCAGGGTTCTTCTGTGGAGAGAGGAGAACCTTATAGAAGGACAACCATCTGTGCAGCGATCCACCAATCAGGCCTGTATGGTAGAATGTCCAGATGGAAGCCACTCCCCGCCTGGAATTTGCCAAAAGACATCTGAAGGACTCTCAGACTGTAAGAAACAAAATTCTCTGGTCTGATGAGACTAAAATTCAACTCTTTGGAGTGAATGCCAGGCATTACGTTAGGAAAAAAAACAGGCACTGCTTATCACCAGGCTCATACCATCCCTACAGTTAAGCATGGTGGTGGCAGCATCATGCTGTGGGGATGTTTTTCTGGAGCAAGAACTGGAAGACTAGTCAGGATAGAGGAAAAGATGAATGCAGCAATGTACAGAGACATCCTGAATGAAATTCTGCTTCAGAGTGCTCTTGACCTCAGACTGGAGCGACAGTTCATCTTCCAGCAGGACAAAGACTCAAAGCACACCGCCAGAATATCAATGGAGTGGCTTCACAACAACTCGGTGAATGTTCCTGAGTGGCCCATCCAGAGCCCATACCTAAATCCTATTGAACATCTCTAGAGAGATCTGAAAATGGCTGTACTCTTTTTTCCCACATTGTCATTATTGGGTATTGAGTGTAGAATTTCAAAGAAATAAATGAATTTCATCCATTTTGGAATAAGGCTGTAACAAAAAAATGTGGAAAAAGTAAAGCGCTACGAATACTTTCTGGATGCACTGTAAAGCCATTAGTTTATATGAAACAATTCATGTCGTACCTGTTATCATTGCTTAACTGCTTAATGCATTAAAGTTCACCTGTCACTACTGAGTCCTGAGTGAGCAACAAAAATGTCCCGTTTCTCAAACTGAGCATGAAAAAGTGTTAAAGTGAGAGTCTACAATCTGTCAGTCAAAGTGGAGGATAAACTCCAATTCAAGGGCTGTCTGGGGCTAAAGCCATGCTTGTTATTTTCTAACAAGAGAGCGAATCAACCTAAAATGACAGGCCGAGTGACAGAGAGAGTCCGAGACTTCAGGGTAGTTTGCCTCAGTCATTTCTCCATGAGCATATATTTTATT